TAGAGTGAAAATCAGTCATGATAATGCATGTCAAGCACTGAGCACAATGCTTGTCACGTTCAGTAGTCGGTAGCTCCTGTCGTTGTTGTTATTGTTGTTACCTGACTTTCCCGAAGTCCCACAATGAGCGCATGAGCAAACGTCGGAGCCAGGCTGAGGAAGCAGGTCCTTCGATTCACCAGGTCATGTCTCCCCTGCTCTTGTGGCAAGGGACCCCCAGATCCCTTCCTGGGGTGCCCCATTTCCAGGACTACCTCTACTTCATCCCCTTCACCTCAGCCTTCATCCGGGTGCAGCCTATGAGGAGGTGTGTGTGTATGTGTATATGTGTGTGTATGGGTATATGTGTGTGTGTATTGTGTGTGTATGTATATATGTGTATGTGTGTGTGTATGGGTGTATGCGTGTATTGTGTATGTATATGTGTGTATGGTGTGTGTGTGTGTGACTAAACCAAGAGAAAGGGGATGTGGGGCTGGCTGGAGGAGGCAGCCCCTTCCTCAATCAAAAGAAGCAGGAAATTCCCTTCTTCCTCTGGTTCCCTAAGGGCCTCTCTGGACTGTCCAGAGAAGGGGAGGGCGGGGTAGGTCTGACATTAACCCCTTCTGCCCCAGACAGGAACCAGTCCAGTGTGAGAGCCTCCAGGAAAATCAACTGCGCCTCCTAACCGGAATCACCCACTCGGGTTGCATTGCAGCCTCTCAAAGCCCTCAGAACAACCCGAACTCTCTGATATCTCACCCAGCGCTCTGTGCTGTGAACAGGTGAAGTGCTCTATCACCTACAAGGCGCCCCTCACATCCACAATCTTATTTCATCCTCACAATAAACAGGGAAGTCTGAGAGTTGGCAGAGCTGAGTCGAAAAGTCAAGTCTGGAGGCCTTTTCCCTGCAACCTTTTGTCATCTACAAAGCTGTGTGTCTCTTCTGCTCTTTGTTAAAATCCAAAATCCACAGTCAGCCTCTTTGCAGTATTAGCACAGGGCCTCACACAATAGGTGCTCATAAGCGTTGAGCAATGTATGAATAAATGGCAGAGACTGGATTAGAGAGAGGAAAGAGTCCTCGTGGCGCAGTGATTAAAGCACTCAGCTTCTAACTGAAGGCTCAGCAGTTCGAACCCACCAGCCACTCTGGGGGAGAAAGATGTGGCAGTCTGCTTCCATAAAGATTACGGCCTCGGAAACCCTATGGGGCAGTTCTACTCTGTCCTATAGCGTCGCTATGAATCGGAATCAACTAGACGGCAATGAGTGGTTTTGGTTTTTGGATATATATGTATGTATGGAGAGAGAAAGAGAGACAGAGAGAGACATTATCTTAAGGAAATGGCTCATGCAGTTGCAGAGGCTGGCAAGTCCCAAGTCTGTGAGGTCAGGCGTCAAGCTGGAGGCTTCTCCTGACTCACGTAGCTGCAGGGGCTGACGAACCCAAGATTGACAGGTAAGACAGCAGGCTGCTGACTCACAGGCTGCAGAGGCTGACAAATCCCAATATCAGCAGGCAATACTGCAGGCTGCTAGCTCAAGTCCCTAGAATCTGAGGTCGGATGATGACAAGCTGGATGCAGGATTCAGAGCAAGAGAGTGAGCTTTGCCAAAATATCCATATATATTGGATGCAGGCCACACCCCCAAGGAAACTCCCTTTTCAACTGATTGGCTGCTCACATCAGATCACAAAATGGAAGATGACTATGTCATTACATAACTGCCAAACTACATCATTACATAACTACCAAACTGCTGAGAATCATGGCCCAGCCAAGATGACACACAACCCTAACCATCACAAAAACCCTATGGAGCACACTTCTACTCTGACATATATGGGGTTGCCATGAGTTGGTGTTGCCATGAGGAGTCAGAGTCACCTCAAAGGTAACTTGTTTTTAACTCAGAAAGATAGTCATGCCATTGCCCAAAGGGAGCAAGCTCATGAATTTGTTCCTCGCACTCAGCACCCCCTGGGCAGGCACCTGGCATCATTTAAATAACAGTAAGTATTATTATTATAACAATCACTTACTTCCCACTGTTCTAAGTTCGTAAGTTCTTTACAACTATCTACTCATTGTTCCTCACATTTACCTATTAGTCCCATTTTACAGATGAGAAAACACAAGCACAGACAGGTTAAGTACTTTGCCCAAGGTTATTCAGCCAATAATGTTGGAGTTGGGATTCAAATCTGATTATTTCTTTCTTGGGCTTGCTTATAATTTTCAAAGTTCTTCCACTTCTGTGAGCTTAGCCTCTCAACAGTCCTGGGAGGCAGGTATGTCCACTATGAAGGGGCTAGGGAGGTTCCATGGCCCACCCGATGCCATACAGTGTGTGTGTGGAACCAGAACCCAGGTCTTCTGGCTCCCAGCCCAGGGCTTGTTCTGACAACAAAGGTCTGCACTGTACAAGGACATGACACGTGGGTCACCCAGCTGTGCGAGGATTTAGGACCTGTCCCACAATGGAGCTGAATCCATGACTCTGGATTCATACGCATACACACACACAATGCACACACATTTACTTCTGGACAGGCAGGGGCACTGGGGTAACAGCCTGTCTGCAGGAATGCAGGGTTTCTGGAATAGAAGGGAAGGAGAAGCAAGGAGCGTGGACAGAAACTTTTGCTCTACATCATCAAACCACTTTCAGTTTCTATATATACTGCCTTTGCATGTTTAATCAGGCTATTCCCACTTCTAAGAACACCCTCTTCCCATGTTCTCACTCCAGCTAACTCATCAAGCTTCACGACTCATTTGGATTTTTTAACTTTTCCAGGAAAGCTCGCTCCTCTCCCTGGGGCTAGGTAAAATGAGCCCCTTCCTTGCTCCCATATCATCACGTGACTGCATATATCTTTATGTTCACCTCTTTGCATTAAAAACACAGGGGCTGCATTCCTTCCCCTGTCCCTATAGTCTGAGAGCTCCTTAAGGACAGAGACCTCACTTTCTCACAGTGGCATCCTCAGTCCCTAAGGGCAGTGCCTGGTCCATGTACTGAGTATGCAAGTACTGAGTATGAAGTGCTTGTTAAGGTCAGATTCGGAAACACCCAGGGGCTCCTGGGGAGAAAGACCTGGCTATCTGCTCCTGTAAAGATTACAGCCTAGAAAACCCTATGGGGAGTTCTACTCTGTCACATGGGGTCACTATGAGTCGAAACCGACTCTATGGCGCCTAACAGCAGCAACTGAGAAGACTGACCAGACATGGGTTCAAATGCCAGTTCCAATAGGACTCAGTTTTCTCATCTTTAAAACAGAAATAAGTCTACCTGCGTTAGGGAATAGTAGACAGTGTCTTAATCATTTCTGGTGTACAGAAGATACCCATTTCAAATTTGTTGAATTAAACAGCGTCATTTGCCCTGCAAATACATCCCACATCTGAGCAGAGAACTCAGCAGCTGGTACCAAGATAAAAACTGTGTGAGGTATTATTATGGATTACATTGTGTCCCCCAAAATATGTGCTGGAATCCTAACCCCCATGCCTGGGGATGTAATCCTGTTTGGAAATAGGGTTTTCTTTGTTATGTTACTTGGACCGTACACAGTGGAGGAGGTTTTAAATCTAATCACTTCTGAGTTATAAAAAGAGTAGATTAGATGCAGAGAAATAGTAACACAGGGGGATAGGGGACAGATGCTATGTGAGGATCTTCTACAAGCTAAGGAACCAAGGAATGCTGGGGACTACCTACAAGGAAGGAATTGATACCACAGAGACCATGATTTGGACTTTTAGCCTCTAGAACTGTGAGGAAATAAACTTCTGTTCTTTAAAGTCACCCCCTGCGGTATTTGTGTTACAGCAGCATTAGGTAATTAAAACCAAAAAACCAAAACCCATTGCCGTCGAGTTGATTCCGATTCATAGTGACCCTATAGGACAGAGTAGAACTGCCCCATAGGGTTTCCTAGGAGTACCTGCTGGATTTGAACTGCTGACCTTTTGGTTAGTAGCCAAACTCTTTAACCACTACGCCACCAGTGTTCTTTCCTCATCTGGGCTGAAGTGGGGTGCTGGGAGGGGGGAGAAGAAGGGCTCAGAGTCTAGGAGATTCTGTGAGTCCTGAGAGTCTGGCAGATTCTTCCCTAGATGCTGCTGCTCAGTGCTCAGGGGCTGCTGTTGCACAGTGGGCTCAGCTTCGGCTGGGAGAGGGGTCTCTGCCCCTGACCAAAGGAGTAGGCCCTCAGTGTGCAATGGGTCGGTGGTAACATAAGGGAGGCTGAGTAGCTTTCCCGTGGGGAAAGGCTCCTCAAATCCGTCTTGGGGCATCCCTCACCCAACTGTTTCCCAGACCAGCATGAGGTCGGCACTGACTAAATACTAGGCCAAGTAAAGAACGGAATGAACAGGGGACCGACTCTTCAAAGCAAGAGAAAAAGGTCCAAACAGCGCCTCCTTGTGGAGCTTTTCACCAAGCAAACTTCTGGGAGAAACGTCCTTGCAGTTCCGCCGCCGAATGCTGGACAGCACGAAGAACTCCAACCCCCCGTTTTTAGAGATGGGGCACTGGGCACAGAGAGAAGAAGGGACTTGTCCAGGGGGCTCCAGAAATTTGCTAGAGGAGGGGTTTTAGGGCAGTGGTTGGGGGATCTGTCGTGGAACAGAGTTTGTATCCCTGCATTTATTTAGGGCGAGTGTGTATTCCGGGCGGCGAGGAGCGGGCTGATGGAGAGGAGTCCCTGGGGCGGCCCCCGGAAGGAAGCAGCACCCGGATGAGCGGACCCCAGCCCCGCGCCCCGCGCGCTCACCGCCTGGTGCAGGGCGCCCCTCAGCGGGACTCAGAGACCAGGCACGCCGCGCGCTTCAGGGACCGCCCGTGTCCCGCACAAAGAGCGCGAGCTCTGCGGATCTGAGCCTACCGCGCCGCGGCCAGGCCGGGTCCTCCCCGCAGGGCCACGTGTGTCTTCGAAAAGCCAGCGGGAAACAGGACTGCTGCTGCCCGGCAATCGCGCGGGTGGAGCCGAGCACAGGCGGGGCTCTCAGTGGTGGGGTTCCCGGGGCGGGGCGCCGAGTCCCTGCGCACTGTCAGCTGGCGTCAGCTACTGCCCCACACTCCACTCCGAGATGTCAGCGAGGAAGCGCGTGGCGAGGGTAACTGCGTATGGGACGGTCCATCTCTCTCCATCCCTTCCCTGGTCCCCCCCACCCCCCACTCCCTTCCCAGGCTCCCTGCTCCCTCCATCCCTTCCCCGGCTGTCTCCTCCCTCCATCCCTTCCCGGGCTTCCTTCTCCCTCCATCCTTTCCCCTGCTGGTTCTCCGCGCGCTTCTTTTAGTGCAGGTACCTGGGCTGGCTGAATGCCAGTCATCCTCTGCTCCCTCCCTAGGGGAGGAGGGTCTGCGAGAGGGGCCAGAGCTTGGGTTTTGGGGGGCGAGGGTGCATACGGGGTGTGGTGCCGCTGGCTCCAGGAGCCGTGCTGGGGGTGGGGTGAGCTGACTGCAGTTTCCCCCAAACTGGTTTGAGTTTCAGTTTCACTTCTGCCAGTAACTCGTGAGAACAATTGCGTGAGTCTCTTGTGCGGGAAAGGTTCCTTGGCCTCCTCCGGGTGGCAGGCCCTCTGCTGTGGGCGGGGAATGGTCTATGCACCGAGATTAGGGGATAAAGTCCTTTTCTTGGAATAGCCAATGACCCGCTCCCTGGGCTGATACCTGCTTGACTAGAGTCCAAAGCAGCATGGTATGCTGACAGGAATAGGGCAGAGTTCCCTGGGTGTTCTCGGGGTGAGACGATGCCAGACAGAGCAGGGAAGGCTCCTGGAGGTGGTGGTGTGCGCTTCGTTCCTTGTTCTGCTGGTGCTGTTGAATGCCTTTTATATGCTGGCCCTGTTCTAGGTGGTGGGGAGGCAGAGGAGAACAAACGACACAAATCCCTGTCCTCTTTGAGTCTTCGTTCTAATCAGGGACACAGTTTGAGATGAGGTCTGGAAGGACGGGATTAGGGTAGATTCCTCCGGGAGTTCTGAAAACCCAGGGTGTTTTGGGGGCCCGGGATGTAGCTGGAGATGGAGAAAAATGCTGGTCAAGTGGATCTGACACCCCCAGACTATGAGTCTCTCCGAAGTGTCCCTCTAATCTGCAGAGTGGAGGAGGGGGCTGAGGGGAGTGCCTGCTACCCCCAGCTTCTGAGAAGATGGTCTCAGACTGGGTCACCCAGAGTAGGCTCAATCCAGAAGAACCAAAATCTGAAGGGTGACTACAAAATGGGGTTGGGGTCTTTCCAGTGGGAAAGAGATGGGAGCCAGTATTTATCACACTGGAGTCCCTGGGTGGTGCAAACTGGTTAACACACTCAGCAGCTAAAATAAAGGTTGGCAATTCAAGTCTACCCAGGTGCCTCAGAAGAAAGCCCTGGCAATCTACTTCCAAAAAAATCAGCCATTGAGACTCCTGTGGAGTACAGTTCTACGCTAACACACACAGGGTGGCCATGAGTTGGAATCGATTAGATGGAAACTGGTTTTATTTATCACACTGGCATCATTATGTGCCAGGCGGTTTATGTCAGTTGTTTCGTCTAATTCTCACAGCCACCCTATACCGCATTTTACAGATGAGGAAATTGAGGTCTGGGTAAAATAACTCGTTTGTCCAGGGTCACCCAAGAAGGAAGAGATGGGGGTGGGATCTGAGCCAGGTCCTTGGGAGTCCAAACACAGGCTCTTTCAATGGCCACTCTACTTTCACTTTCTTTTCCGGTAAGTCCAGTGATTTCTTAACAGGCCTCGGGAAAGAGCTGTGTGTTCTAGCTTGGGTTTCAACATCCTCAGGCATTGGGAAAGTTTTGGCAGAACTCACCTGTAATAGATAAAATCCTAAGTATTCCTGTTTGTAGTAAAGTCAGGGAAAAATTCCATTCCAGAGCTTCTTTGTTCAACCTTGGGCTTCATTCTTGCCAAAAATAACATGATACCGGAACCAGACCTGAAGTAGCAGATGCTTCTGTTTGTGGTAAAAGATAAATGAGAAGTCATAGAATCTGGGCAGAAGGCATGAAAAGTGGTTTACTGGGGTGAAGAGAGAGAGAGGGGAACGAGGGTGTGTTTATATTTTGGGAGGGGGAAATAGAAAGGTCAGATGGTGTACAGTATCAAAGGACCCCTCCTTATCTGGGAACTGGGTTCGGGGAACAATCTCTCTGCCTTTGTTTACATCAGAGTTTCTCAACCACCTCGCTACTGACATTTGGCCGGGTAATTCTTTGTTGTGGGAGGTTGTCTTTAGCACTCTACCCACTAGACGCCAGTAGCATCCCTGCCTCCAGATTTTGGCAAATGTTCCCTGGGGTATAAAAATGGCCCCAGGTGAGAATCAGCAGTTTACACCCATTTGGTGTTCCAGAGGAATATGACTTGTCCTTGAATGTCATTTTATGTTTTGTTTTGAAAAAAAAAGTTCTGTAGTCACCAAAGGGCCAGGGGCTGTTTGGTCAAATACATTTGAGAATTACTGCATACTATGGGCTTGCATTTTTGAGATTCATTACACAATAGCATATTAAAGGCTCTGGAAAGCCCTGTAGTAAAGAAACCTATTTAGCCCAGTGTCTCCCAAACATACTCCCCCTTGGAACGCTTCCCTGTAATAACTGTTGACCTTCCATGGGACACACTATACATTTGCCCTTATTGGACCTGTCTTGGTGTCCCTCCTCTTCTCTGCATGGCCGACTCCTGTTTATTCTGCGTGGCGCAGCTCACCATCTGCAGCCTCTGTAAGCCTTCCTGCTCCCATCTCCTCTCCTTCCCCATTGTGTCCACACACGTCATTTTTGTAATCGCATTCATGTTTCCTCCATTATGTCATGGATGTTCTTGAGGCCTGGGCCATGTCTTGGTCGATAGAGAATGCTCAGTCAGTGGCTGTTGAGGTGATTGGGTGAGGTCCAGGTGACTGGGCCACATTCTGGGACAATGAATCCCTCCCTGTCCCTGTTTCTCTGCTTGGTGTGTAGAGTTCTCATCTGCTGTGGTCCACTTGAGTCGTTTTCCTCCCCCAGCCCTGGGCTAGTGGAGTCTGACAAGGATGAGGTGATGTCTTTGCCACCCACTCTGCCATGAGCACTGGTGTGTGCATCTCATCATGCTGGGCACTTGGTGGATGCCGATGGAAGGAAGGGACGGAGAGGAAAGGAGGGAGAGAATTAAGACCTAGTGATTGTCTAGGAAGAGGGCAAGAGGGTTAAGTACCTTGGTTTCAGGAGACTTCTAAGAGTGTTTAGTTCCAAGTTTTCATATTTTCGAGAAGTGATCTGGCGCTTCCCTACACCTAGTAACCACAGAATTGTAAGGCTGAAATCATATGATTCACTGAATGGTCTATGCACCGAGATTAGGGGATAAAGTCCTTTTCTTGGAATAGCCAATGACCCGCTCCCTGGGCTGATACCTGCTTGACTAGAGTCCAAAGCAGCATGGGATGCTGACAGGAATAGGGCAAAGTTCCCTAGAGCATGCTAAACCAAAAAACCAAACCCACTGCTGTCAAGTCAGCTCTGACTCATGGCGCCGCTCCTCTGTTACAGAGTAGAGCTGCTCCATAGGGTTTTCTTGGCTGTAATCTGTACGAAAGCAGATCACCGGGCTTTTCTTCCGTGGCTTTGCTGGATGGGTTTGAACCACCAACCTTTAGGTTAATAGACCAACGTAAACCATTTGTGCCACCCAGAGACCTTGACACATACTAAGTGCTCCATAATTGGGCGCTTTGACTTTGCTGGCTTCTGCCACCTAGGGTGTTGTGTTTTGGACAGGACAACTTGCCGCTGGGGCAGGGGCAGGGGCTGAAATGGGGAAGTCGAGGCCAACTGCCCGCTTGCTGTTCCCTCTACAGGAGCTGGAGGATCTGCAGAGCCAGCTTCCCCCGTACCTGCGGAACCTGGTCAGTGAAGATGCCAACGTCATGGTGTGGCACGTGCTCCTCCTGCCCGTGAGTGTCCACAGGGATTGGGGCTCTGGACTGCGGGCGGCTTAGGCCAGGGGCATGGACAGGGAAGGTCAGGACTGGGCAGCACTTTTCCCAGGAAGTTATATATGAGAATCACCTGGGGGTCTTGTTAAACTGTTGATTCTGATCCACAACCACAGCAACAACATATCTAGGGTGGAAATGCAAATTCTCATCAGGGAACTTGTTAGAAATGCAAATTCTCAGCAGGGGTTCAAACTGGAATGAACTGGTTTGAAGCCCTGGTTCAAATCCACCTATATTTCCCTCAGAGGAAAGGCCTGGCAATCTACTTCCAAAAGATCACATCTGTGAAAACTCTGTGGAGTGCAGTTCTACTCTGACACACGTGGGGTTGCCATGAGTTAGAATTGACCCCATGACAACTGGGGGGGAAAAAAAAGGCCTTTGTCAAGTGGTAGGGGCAAACTTCTGCGTTCCCACCAAGAAAACTCAAACCCATTGCCCTTGAGTCTATTCTGATGCATAGGAACCCTATAGGATAGAGCAGAACTGCCCCATAGGGTTTCCAAGGAGCGCCTGGTAGATTCGAACTGCTAACCTTTTGGTTAGCAGCCAAACTCTTTAACTGCTATGCCACCAGAGTTTCTACAGTTGGTAAAATTTACTCCCCTAAACCTGAAATGTTTTTTTTCTTTTAAAGACTAATTTCAGAAAATCATTGTTCCAGGTGACAACTCAGATAACTTATCTCTACTGTTCTGATTTCTCTATACTTATTATTTGATATCATCTTGGTAAAAATCTCCCTTTGGAAGTCATATTCCAGAGAACTTATCATCAGAGTACAAGCTCTTTATTTTGCCAGTTAATTATTAGTGGCTGAGGATACTTTCTTATAGAAATTCATTCATATACCTTTGGTCACTCAAATGAAAACATTTGAGTTTTTTGCAGTCAAAGCTCTTTGGAAGGGAACATACCCATCTGCAGATACAGGTCTGGTGGTGGATATTTCTACATACCTAAGTGTAGGTGACGCTTATATGTCAATATAGACAGTAGACCACACAAAGGCCACAGTCAGGGCAACTTCTTAGACATAACCAAACACCTCGAGGGATGAAGTTCCTAGGCTCGTAGGTGAAGGACCATAGACTCGGGGGACATCTTCATAAATTGGCACGACCTATTTCATAAAGGCAAAGTTCTGCATCCTACTTTGGTGAGTAGCGTCTGGGGTCTTAAAAACTTGTGAGTGGCCATCTAAGATACAACTATCAGTCTCTTACCATCTGGAGCAAAAGAGAATTAAGAAAACTGAAGACCCAAAGGAGCAATTAGTCCAAAGGACTAATGGACCACATGAACCATAGCCTACGTGACCCTGAGACCAGAAGAACTAGATGGTGCCTGGCTACCACTACTGACCTCTTTGACTGAGATCACAACAGAGGGTCCCAGACAAAACGGGAGAAAAATTGCAGAACAAAAAATCAAATTCACAAAAAAGACCAGGCTTACTGGTCTGATAGAGACTGGAGGAACCCCGAGACTATGGCCCTAAGACACCCTTCTGCTCTGGAACTGAAACCATTACCAAAAACCACCCATCAGCCAAACCATAGACAGGCCCGTAAACTAACACTCACGAGGAGTGTGTTCCTTAGAACAATCTGTTATATGAGATCAAAAGGGCAACATTTGCTCAAAAGCAAAGATGATAAGTCAGGAAGAGATAGCAAGTCAGTACAAAAGGAAACAGGGAACCTAGGATGGAAGTGGGAGGAGGGCAGGCACACTGTGAGCAATGGAATCAATGTCATGGAACACTGTGTATAAACTATTGAATGGGAAACTAGTTTGCTATGTAAGCTTTCACGTAATGCACAATAAAAATTTAAAAAAAAAGCTTTTTGGGATGGAAAGAGAATAATTCATCTTATTATTTAGAATTTGGATGTCTTGCTGATAATACAGAGTGCCTGGGTTGTGCCATCTCTTGTCTTTCAACTGATCTGTAGCCCAGAAAAATAGAAATTGTTTGAGTTGAATCAACATTTGAACCTTCTGTCAAGTCCCTTGGGCTGCTGGGTTGAAGCAATTCACTTACCTGGCTTGGAGTGAGAACACCTGTTAGGTGCCAGGGGAAGAAGGTGCTGGAAGGAGCTCCAGGGACTGATTTGATCTCCAAGGAAACCAGCTTTGAGACGATAAGAATGAAGGGAAGGAGCAAGTCAGAAGGAACAAAGTGGTGGTAGGAAAACCTAGAGAAGGTCACATTTGGGAGAATACACTAAAATCAGAGGACCCTAAGTGTTGGCAGGACTAAGGTGGGTAGGTGCACCCAGGAAAGAGCCAAGATCTGACAGCCATACAAGGGTCTTGAAGAAGCATGCTAGTTGGGAGGAACCCCAGGGCTGGGGACCAAAACTTGGCACAGACTAGTCTGCCAGGGGGATCTGCAGGGACCCAGTGAAGCTGTAAAGGAAGGGATGGTTGGCCAGCAGGGAAGGGCAGCTGGGAAGGTCTGTGGGGTGAGCAGATAGCTTCCCCCTCAAAGGCTCAGTCTCCATCCACATGTTCACTCAGGCAGCCTCACTTCACTGATCGTGGTTATAGAAGATCACAGCTGGATGGCCCTTTTGAAGCTATTAGTAAGAGTTCACATTTATTGAAATCCTCTGTTCTAAGTACATTATATTTGTGGTCATATTGAATCTTCACAGTCAATGAGGAAGTTAGTATTATATTTTACTACCTACCAGCTGTTTAATTTTACAGTAAACTCTCATATATTAACAGTTGCTGTCAAGTCAATTCTGATTCATGGCGACCTCGTGTGTCAGAGTGCAATTATGCTCCATAGGGTTTTCTTTATTCCCATACAAAGATTTATACATACACTGTTATGTGACTCTAATTGCTCTCCCCATACTGTGACAGCACATTTCTCCTTTCCACCCCTGACTCCCCATGTCCATTCAACCAGCTCCTAACCCTCTCTGCATTCCCGTCTCACCTCCGGACAGAAGCTGCCCGTTTAGTCTCTTGTATCTACTTGAGCTAAGAGGCACACTCCTCACGAGTATCACTTTATGTCCCACAATCCAGTCCAATCCCTGTCTGAAGAGTTGGCCTCAGAAATTGTTTTAGTTCTGGGCTGATAGAGAATCCAGGGACCATGCTTTCTGGGGTTCCTCCAGTCTCAGTCAGAACATTAAGTCTGGTCTTCTTACAAGAATTTGAGTTCTGCACCCCACCTTTCTCCTGCTCCATCAGGGACTCTCTGTTGTGTTCCCTGTCAGTGTGGTCATTGGTAGTAGCCGGGCACCATCTAGTTCTTCTTGTCTCAGGCTGATGAAGTCTCTGGTTTATGCGGCCCTTTCTGTCTCTTGCGCCACTACTTTCCTTGTGTCTTTGGTGTTCTTCATTCTCCTTTACTCCAGGTGGTTGGGACCAATTGATACATCTTAGATGGCTGCTTGCAAGTTTTTAAGACCCCAGACGCCACTCACCAAAGTAGGTTGCAGAACATTTTCTTAATAAGCTTTGTTATACCAAATGACCTAGATGTCCCCTGAAAGCATGGTCCCCAGACCCCTACCCCTGCCACTCTGTCCCTCAAAGTTTTTGATTGTATTCAGGAAACTTCTTAGCTTTGGTTTAGTCCAGTTGTGCTGACTTCCCCGGTAGTGTGTACTGTCCTTCCCTTCGCCTAAGATAATTCTTATCTACTATCTAGTTAGTAAATAACTCTCACACAACCTTGTAACCATCAAAGAATGTTTTCTTCTGTGTTTAAACCTTTTCTTGAGTTCTTATAATAGTGGTCTTATACAATGTTTGTCCTTCCGTTACTGACTAAATTCACTCAGCTTAATGCACTCCAGATTCCTCCATGTTATACGACGTTTCACAGCTTCATTGTTGTTCTTTATTGTTGCGTAGTATTCCATTGTGTGAATATACCATAATTTGTTTATCCATTCGTCCGTTGATGGACACCTAGGTTGTTTCCATCTTTTTGCTATTGTGAACAGTGCTGCAGTGAACATATCTATTCATGTGACGGCTCTTATTTCTCTAGGATATATTCCAAGGAGTGGGATAGCTGGATCATATGGTACTTCTATTTCTAGCTTTTTAAGGAAGC